GCTTGTCATTAATTTTCACTAATAGTCTTTTTGCTAATTTCAATCCCTGCAACAGTACTGCTATGGAAGCCAAGGCAAATTAATTTTCCATCCTATTTAATGATGATAATCTGTATCAAATGCTTTATTAAAGACAAGATATGCTACATAATTATTAAACAATATTTATTTAGCATTACAAACTTTGCATTTGGTAATCAGAAACAGTTGTTCCAGGAATTTGACCAGTGCCTGAAAGGTATTTAATTGCTATTGGACAAGTACTTTCCAGTGGGGAACTTGCAATCAGAACAAAGGAGCTTCAAACAGACTTTGAATGTAGTCTCTGTGACATTGTCTCTGTCTTCTGCCACGTCAAGCACCAGGACTTTAATCCTCTCTACATACATTTCCTTGCAGTGAAAATCTGTTTTTTGTCTAATCTGCCACGTCAAGCACCAGGACTTTAATCCTCTCTACATATCCTTGCAGTGAAAATCTGTTTTTTGTCTAATGAGTGTGTGTTGTTTCAGACTCCATGACAGAAAGATGTGTATAATAGGACTGAGCATCCTAATGGAATTGCAGAACCGACCGCCTGCAGTGGATGCTGTGGCTGCCCAGATTGTGCCTTCAATCCTCCTCCTCTTCCTGGGCTTAAAACAAGTTTGCGCCTCACGAGAACTCACAGAACATGAGGATCATGCTAAAGACGAAAAACACGTTGCAGAAGATAATGGTAAAATCTCCCCTTTTCACATTGTGGATTTTGTCTGGATTTAATTTAAAGGGGGTAAGAAATTGCAGTTCATTTTTAAGACTCATTAGTCTGCTGAAAATAGCTAGGCTTACTGGGTGCTTGAAAGAACATCTTAGGAATTGATTTTTCCTCCCAAAATGTAATCAAAAGGTTTCAATATATAACAGCTAACACTTTGTGAAAGGGTAGTATTGGTATAAGAGTAACAATAAAACTTGCAGGCCCACTCTTCTGGGTTGTGAATGTGCTCTGTCTTCTCACATAGGCAGCAGGAGTTTGCCAGGACTGCACTGGTTATATTCTCAATTCCTGGAAAGAAGCTGTTTCTAGTACCCAGCTATTTGAAAGACCTGTTCTGGTGAACTTTGAAGGAAATCCTAGCAAGTCTTCTTTGTCCAAATGGAAAGTGATTTGTAAAGTGGAGTTTGAGACAACTGAGGTTCCTGGAGCAGACAGACCTCTTATTGGTGTGTCTGACAGAAAAGAAAAAAACATGAAAGAATACCTTGTGGAGGGAATTGTGGGGCGTGAATTTTACACAGCATTGCAGGCAGATATGTGTGACTGTATTTGACTTGGAACACGAGACAGATGATTTAAAAATCTGAAAATTAGATTGGATGTAAGCAGATAATGTAATCCACTGAGATTTCACCCATGATTGTTCTGTAATGGAATCACAGAATTATTCTCAATGCATAGAAATACAGTATGGAAACAGCACAGTAATTTTCAAATCTCTGTCCTGTGATTCAGTGCTTCTGCTTGTTGCAGATACAGTCATCATTATTCTTTCTAAACTGTTAACACAGGAAGAGCTGAAGGGTTGGAATTGGAGGGGACTTTTTTTTTTAATCTTGATTATAAGTCAGAAATAATTTTCCTTAAGTAAGAAATAGCAGTGTTGAGAATTGCATGTTGGAGTTGCATTTAATTCAGAATATAATAGTTGTTTCATAAGGGGAATGGAAGGTAAAGCTAAGCGAAAGATACTCTTTTAAGTTTGTTCAAATAAAGGAGCACTCTGAAGAATAGCAGGCAGACATTTGGTCTACATCTGGTTTTCTCTTTGTTTTGTGTCAATTTGTGAAGTCTATGCAAGTCTCTGTTTGTTTGTAATTTAAAAAGCACAGCGATGGAACACTTTGTCAAAGACACATTTCCTCAAAAATTTTGGATCCTATTATTGCACAATGGCTGCATAAATGAAAGAAGAAAAATGCTGCCAGTTTCATATTCCCCAGGTGTGCTTAGAAACAAAAGTTTGACTGATCTTGAACATAGGAAACATTTAACAGCTTCATTTTCCCAATTCTTCTAAGATTTTGGGGGAAGGGTGTTAACAGAGGGTCCCCTTTCCAGCCAAAACCTAGATTTATTAATTGTTCTTCATTCATAAATCATTTTTCCTTACACTTTTTAAACTTTGTTTTACAAAACACATCAGAAGAGATACCGAGTGATGAGGAGGAGACAAATGAAGTGAGCCAGGCGATGCAAGAAAACCATGGTGGAGGAGGAGGTGGTGGTGGTGGTGGAGGTGGAGAGGAAGAGGATGAAGATGATGATGATGATGATGACTGGGATGAAGATGCATTGGAAGAGACTGCTCTTGAAGGGTTCAGCACACCTCTTGACCTTGAAAATGGTGTTGATGAATACCAGTTTTTTACACAAGCACTTTTAGGTATGTGTTTGCTAATTGGCACAATGATACAACATGATGAAATAGTTTGGAGATGTTTATGGTCACCACTGAGAAAAACCCTTTTCTTTGTTACAAGTAATAATTTAGATTATTGAGACTCGAAAATGTTAGTCCTAAGATTTTTTGATTTACAAGTACTGCAAAAAAAAATGGTACTAAGTACAACCAGAGATTAATTCTCTTCATGTTCTCTTTCAGAACTTTTCCATCACAGCCTGAATAAGTGGGACTCGGTCACTAGAGGGACTCCTATATATAGAAATATTTGTCACTTTCTAGATGTTAAAATCATAATGGAGAAATAATTTTCTTCCTTCCCAGTTTGACTAATCCTGTTGCTTTTAGTTTTGATACAAGTTTTAAATTAAAAGATTCACTTCATCGTTGTCCATGAATATTGGCCACATGGTTAACTTTCTGTTTCAGAAAGCAGAGGATGTAATTAAGTTCCCCAAAATGAATTGCCTCTATTACAGTGGGGATTCTACACTAAGAAAACTGACAGGAATACTGAGCCTCTTTTGCAGTGCAAATTCTGTTTTAAAACTGATCAGGGTTTCTGTGTGTTTCATTTTATTCTACTGATGTTAACTTGCAACGTAACCTGATAATCACTTTTTATCCATTCCTGTTCTGACAGCGGTGCAGAGCCGAGATGCAGCCTGGTACCACTCACTGACAGCACCCTTGAGTGAGGATCAGAAGAAACAGCTGCAGGAAATTTATACATTAGCAGAACACCGGCGAAATGCTGCAGGTGAGTCACTTCTCTGGGGCCATTTTATCTGTTGCAGCTATGTTGAAACTGCATCTCATCTGTAACAACAGAGAGAATAAATCTCTCTGCTAATTAACATTTCCTGAGAAGCGTGAGTAGGATATTGCGCTTGTATTATCCCTTGCCTGGAAGTGTGTGTTATTCAGAGAGATTACTGTTGCTTCTCATTAATTGCCCTCTCATTGACGTGTGCTGCTGTTTGAACAGGGTACGAACTAGTTTTGCACAATCTGACATTTGAAATGAAGAGCAAATTAAGGGAACATCTAGCTGTCAGCCAGGCATTTGATGAAGATTACTGTAGATTGTTATGTGTTTAACAATTTTGTAACTTTTTAACCACTAACAGTACCTTCACAGTCAGCGTAAGGTTTTAGATATTTAGAAAGCTTGCATCATGGAAAATAAATACAGATTTAATCAAAAAGCACGCAGGATAGTATAACATAAACTTATAATGTAGAGGATTAATTTCTCAGCTCTGTTGCAGAGGTGTGTGTGTTTATGCGTTTAGAGAAAATCTGAGTGTAATTTTTGACTGCCGCTGCATTTAGGGAATGAATCAACCCAAGAGTTTTTGCCACAACTTTGCATTCTTAGCTGAGCTGTATTGTCTCTGACGAAAGTGTTCTCTACAGACTATTTTTCATAGCCTTTCCCTTCTTTGAATTCTAGAGACTAAGACAATAGAACAACAAAGTGGCTACACATTTGACAACAAAGGACTGATCACAGCATTTAACTTTGCTGGAAGTACTCCTGGTGGCAACTGAAGGATCAACTGCAAAGGTCAATGGGAAGGGTCTCATCATTACATTTTCTTGAAATCATCATGACTTCTGAGTGATAGGGGAGGGTAATTTAATGCTGCTGAAAGTTTTCTGGAAAATAGCAGTGTGCTTCCCCCACCAGAATGCTCTTTCTAACCAGCTACTGTAATGTACAAATTCTTGTGGTGTTTTTATAATTTGATGGACTGAAAGGAAACATTTGTCCTCAAGGAACCTGAATGACTGGGAGGGGCCAGGCTGCATCTAATTGAGTTGCACTTCTCAGGTTTTTGCTGTGCAGAATTGATAGATTCATATGGATAACAGTGCCTTCTGTTGTACATGGATTGCCTGAACAAATGGATTTTGGAGTGCATTATACTTTTTTAAGTGTAAGGACATTTCTTGATACACTGTAAGCCTTGGTTCCGTGTTTTCCTGTCATCTGCTTTTTACTACTCAGTTTAATTGTTGTTGGTTGCATACACATTGCTGGATTCAGATTATGATCTCATCTTCCCTGTTTGGTGCAGACCAAATGTGTAGAGGGAGTTGCCTGTTGGAGTTGCAAAGCATACACTGGTTACGTCAAAGGGTCTTAACAAATTGCAGATTTTCCCTTGATGCAGTAGTCTTAAATTATTTCTCTTAGCCATGAAATCAACTCGCTTGAGTTATGATGGCATGGCAGGTGGCTACCCTAAATCTACATGGATATTACCTCCTGCCTGGACAAGTGGTGTGGCCCTCGCATGTCGATGTTCTACATGACAACTTTTTATTTCCACTATTTTTGATGAATATTGGATTTTACTTGGGATTCTATAAACCTCTTTCCTGTTTTGATTCATTCATTCTATAAACCTCTTTCCTGTTTTGATTCATTCATTACCATTCCAGTGGTAGTACTGAATAATGTGGTACAAAATATTTAGAATATTTTATTTATCTTGATAAAAGAAAAACAGCTCCAAACTTATTTCTTCTTACTCTTACACTTCTGTGATTGAACTTCTGGTCTGCATTCCATTTGGCTGTTCTTGACCCTTGCTGAAATATCTACCAGGTTTCTTCTTAAATTTCAAAGACTGGTTTCTGATAAACTGAAACACAGATAACAAGGTGTTTGTGAATATGTTCATTTAGTGAGAAACTGATAGCAGTACTAATTTGAATAGGTGCCCCTCCTTTAGATCTATTTGGGATCGCAGTGGTGTAGCCAAAATAAGTAGGGATGCTTTAGAATATGAAGTTTGGATTGGAGATAAAATCTTTAGAACAGATTTTGTCTCTGTGTTAATTTCTTTATGATGTAAAAATATTTACCAAGCAATTTTAAGCACATGCTGATAATGTATTTCTTTAGAGCAATGCCCCAGCCGAAAAGTCGAAGCCCTTCCCATACCCCATCAAATTTTCAACAACTGTAGTGTATTACAGATTGCTTGCCCTGCACTGTGCTGAAGCTTTCTTTTTTAATATGTCAGAGTAATTATAATTTGGTCTGATAAATCTTAAGCAGTCTACACCTTGGCTTCTGGAAAAGGCCAAAGTGTGTCTGCCTGTTCCTTGCCTCATACCCTGGAATTTTCTAAGCCCGGCAGCTGTGGGGCAGAAGATTCCACGCTGCTTTTCTTTTTCCTACACCTTTGTGTCAGACTCTCTCTGGTGCTGTTCTCTGCTGCTGCTTTTTTTTTTGCTTTTTTTTTTCCCCCCTCACAGCAGCTGCAAAGTAAAGTTGGCGTGGTTCCTGTAGGTTTTTCACTACTGCTACTCACTTAATAGCAACAGTGAAAATTTCTCACTTTTAGGTCTGTCGTGCATATGGAAAACTGTGAGAATTCCAGGGTTTGTGTTTCCAAAAGTGAACCATACATTAGACCTGCCTTGGACAGGCTCTTTAAGTTCAAGCAGCAGAGGGCCAGGACATCCTTTATTTTGAATGTCGGGCCATGAAAATCATAGGTCACTTTTGCGAACTTAGGCCTGGGGGTGTATTGACTGAGATGGTAGGAAGGCATTGCATCCAGTTTGTGGGTGAATTTCTCAGAAACCATAGAAGTTTTGAAATCCTTCACAAATATAAGAAATGTTTTTTGGAAGTTGAGGACGCGAACGACTTACCTGACACTTAAGTTTAAGAAGGTAAACTGTTTAAGTCCTTTATTATTTTATTTAAAAAAAAAAAAGAGATTGTCAAGTTGGGTTTCTTTCAAAGCCCATTTTCCTTCTCTACACTGCAGAGTAAAGAGGGATTTATTTTTCTTCTGCTAATGAGGTTGCTCACACAGTCACAAGTTAATATTTAGGAGTTAATGCATTCAAGGAAAAATCTGCTTTTGCATAGCATCATCTTTGTGTCACTCAGCTGAACTATGGCTGCTCCCTAGTTCTGCTTCTTGTATACTTTTGAAATCAACTGCCAAGAAAATTTAATCCAGATGTTTCTTACAAGGGGTTTAATCAGCAGCGTGGAGTCGGGAATCTTTGTTGTCTATTTTGCAGTGGGGGTCAGAGATGTCTGAGGGGATGGCATGTAAAAAGGTTAAATGCCCTTCCCTTCCCAGGAGATTCATGAGCAAATATTTCTACTGGCAAAAGCAAATGTTGATTATTTTATTCCTTTTTTTGAAAAGGGAATTCATTCAACAAGATTTATTGGGCTCTAGCCTCCACTTTAACATATGGTTCTCTTTTAACATGATAAATATCCGTTTGTACATGATCATAAATAGGTAATGGATTTTAGGGATTTCTTTCTGAGCTGTGTCCAGCTTTGTACTACATTAAAGGGTGAGTAACACAAATGTGCATTACTGTCTCGCTTTGTAGCCAAGGTAATCATGGAATATCAGATACCAGCATCGGCCAACCAAGCAGGATGGATTTACTGTTGGAAGTACAGAGAATCATGAATGTGTTGTAAAATAAAACAAAGGCTGATAACCAGTGACCTGTGTTGCCCCATGCCCATGTTCCCAAAGTGTGAAGGTGACTTATATGAGCACCACGGGGGCTTTACATAGGAAATTAGCATTGTGTAGGTTAGAATCATAGCAAATGTTAAGTTCCATGATAAGCTGCTTTTTCAGATGAAATGAGCTGATGTTGGGTATTGAATTGCATATGCTGTTTTGTCACTCTTAAAAGGAAAATAAGAATCACTACATGTTTTGGCTGCTTCTTTTTGCTCTCTCAAAGTTGAAGTACTTGGTTTGCTTCCATAACAAAGCAAAATCTTTAATCAAAATGGCCAGCTTCAGAAAGAGTGCAGAATATCAAGCTAAAGAAAAAGCTAAAAAAAACCCCAAACCCACTTGTGCACAGTCTGATGGAAATAAATGTGCTTTGGGAGTGTATGTCAAAATACGTAAAGAGTGTTACACAGAATGATAATTGTGAGATTCTTTGCTTTAGGGGGACAGGCTGCCTGTAGGGTGTCAGGGAGACATGAAATGAACTGCTTTAGGACGTGACTTTTGCCTGTGAAGTCCAGGCAGTTTGTGACTCTGGATTCCATCATACATTGTAGAGGAGAGAAGGTAGGACAGTAGAGGATTTTTTAAATTTTTTTTTTTTTTACTATAAAGCAAGAGTCTGTCTTGAGACTTTTATGAGCCAAAGGAATTGTAGACAACATGAATCATTAACTGTCTCTTGTTTCCAGAATACTTTGCAGCCTTTTTTTTCCCCTACTTTTCTTCCCTTTGCCAGCCGCTATGTTATCAGATATTTCGGGAGATACTCAAAATACCTGAAAAGGTAAAGCTTAAACAATTTTTTTTTTAAAATTCCATTGTTCTTGAAGCAATGCAACCTGTCCATTGCATTTGTGTAAATAGAACAAAGTCTCTTGTTTGGCTTATGCAGATGATACAGAGCTATGAAAACCCCTCACACGTGCCTGCTGTTTGAGAGAAACCTTTCTATGATTTGCTTCTTAATATGGGTACTTTGAAATCCCCACACCTTGTACTGAAATTTGCTCAAAGGGTAGGCAACACTGTGTAATAGGATAGGATACACTGTGTAATGGAGTACTCAGTCCCAGTTCTGAGATACGCCCTGGTCAATCTTTTGGTAATGTTTGACAGTCTGGTGGTCAGTTCCTCAAGGATCTCTGCCTCTGACTGATATCCTTCAAGTCCAAGAGACTCTGTATCTTTGCAGGTGGACAGAGAATCAAGTTTCCCTCATTGCAGCAAAGCATACAGCAGGTATGGCTAACAACTGCTTGACGTTATGAGTGAAAATAACACTCTCTTCTCTCGGATGTCAAATCTTACCCCAAACAGATGCGATACAGAAGAGATGATGTTCCCAATGTGTTAAAGGAAGTCAGACACTATTCCAGATACCAGAAAAGTCTTAGCATAAAGCCATATCTTAAAGAGGATATATAAACAGGCCAAGCTGCTTGCTTTCGACACCTCTTCCACTGCTATTGCTTTTGTAGAAACAACGAAACAAAGCCAGTCTAAACCAAAAGAGAACTAAAGCAGTGCTTGTGCACTAGACAGGTAGAAACTTCCCTGGCCTGTGGATCTAATCTCAATACTCACTGCAAATGCACTCAGATACTTTTAAAATAGAATATGTAGTAGCATCTGTATGGATATCAGTACCCTGAATCTGACAGCAGTTAATGAGAGGTAAAGACTTAGTGTGATTTTTCTCTGACAGAGAACAAATGCATCCCTTTAAAAAGTCTGGGAACCTCTTGTCCTGGCTGATGTGCAGTCACCAATGGGAGACACTCAGTGGGATTACAGCCTTTCTTAAAGCTTGTCAGCATATCTCCTACCAAAAGGTTACCTAAAGTGTTGCATGTCTAGGGAGCTAACTGATGAACCACTCCCCAACTAAAGTTTAAGGGACAACAGTTCAAAGAGAATCTGCAGGCACATGTAATGGTGATGAATTGGGAAAGCATGCATTTAAATTGACGTGTGATGTGTTTGAAATGATCTCAGATCTGCAGTGTTCCTGATTTTGCCTGGATCTTCTAGAGGAGTGTCCAAGAATTCTGTCCTGTGCTTTTCTCCAGGAAGAGAATGTGCTTGACTTCTTGAGCAGCCTTAAATTTGGTGCAATGCTTTGAACTTGGGATCAGAAAGCAATTTTCCTTACAAGCTGGTAGTTGTCTGTATCAGAAAAATCAGGTGAAAGTTGTATATTAATGCTGAGATTGTCTTCATAGGCTGTGTAGAGGTTCACAATTTTAAGTGCTTGGCTGTCTGCATGGTGGGGTAGGAGATGAACTTTCAGATGCGTTTATTTCTCCAATGTGAATGCAACAGGCTCAGCTCCAGGATTCACCTGAGGTGAATGGACAGTGTTGGTCAGGGGCTGCCTGCTGGACCATCCAGGATTATATTAAATGAAGTGAAATGCAAAAACTGAAAAATTACTTGGTAATTGAAGTTGTTGAGCAACAAAAATGAGTGTTTTCTTGAAATGAGATTTGAATATTATGTTCAGGTATGTTTTAATTTCCAGGTTCCTTGCCCGTATGCAAAATACAAAATTACTACATGACATGGAGGCCTATTGGTTTTTCACAGGACTGTTTACCATTGAAGGTGTTTATCCGAGAGTCATACCTCATTTTTAGATATTTTCAA